AGCTGTCGTTTGGGAGGATTTGGCTGGTCTACAGGGATCTGCATGGAGTACTGGCACACAGAAGGACGTGATGGAAGGCTTAATACTTCACACTTGGTACTTTTTTGGAATTGTATAATGTTAGCATGCCCAGAGGGGTTGGGCAGCCAGTGACCTTGGACCCCCAGAGGTTTCTTTTCTCCTTCCTGAGGAGTTTTGGGTTCCTCTCCTCCGTTATCTTCTGGCTTCTTCTCTTTCTGTATTGTAATGTCACGTATTGTCACACAGCTTTGTTAAGCGCCTTGGGGCTGTTGGTCCTACAGATGTCTCTGAGTCTGTTGGTTAAGTTGGTCATCTTTCTCCCAAATTCTTTTGTGAGGCATGACATAGAAAACTGGCTGGACTGTGGAGTTCTTGGGCTTTTAAAAACAATGTTTTTTTTTTTATGAACGAAAGGTGGAACTTAGAGGAGCGTTTATTAATGGACAGCTCTGTGTCCTTTCACTGTCTCCCCAGCCTGAACCCCTACAGCTACGACGAGAGCTGCGTGTCCAGTAGTGTTGACCACCTGCCCCTGGCTGCTCTCCCTCTCCTTGCCATCGCCTCGCCACATTACCTGGATGCGGTTGCCACGGTGATCAGCCGCGCCAATCAGGTCTACCATGAGTTCCTCAAGTCCCAGGAAGGGGCCGGGTTCAGTGGACAGGTACAGTAGGACACACAGCCGTGAAGGTGACAGAACGAGTCGACAGATTTGGGTCAGCCCTAAGTATCGTCTCTGTGCAACCAGCATGCAATGAGCTTAGAATTCAGTTGTCAGCTGAGTGACACACCCCTTCCTCCCCTCCAGGTGTGCCTGATTGGTGACTGCGTGGGGGGCGTCCTGTGTTTCGATGCCCTGTGCTTCAGTACCAGTCATCGGCCAGAGAGCCCCAGCAGCAGCCGCAACGACAGCACTGAAAGCTTGAAGGTAGAGCCGAGATGAATTCTATGATTCACTTTGCTAAAGCAGTATTCCTGAGTTCCTTGGCTCAAACCTCTCTCCTGGTGCCTCAGCTCTAACCCCTAGCCCACACTGCCTCTCTTCCAGTGCCTCAGTTCTAACCACTAGCCCACACTGCCTCCCACCCAGTGCCTCAGCTCTAACCACTAGCCCACACTGTCTCTCTCCCAGTGCCTCAGCTCTAACCACTAGCCCACACAATGCCTCTCTCCCAGTGCCTCAGCTCTAACCACTAGCCCACACTGCCTCTCTCCCAGTGCCTCAGCTCTAACCACTAGCCCACACTGCCTCTCTCCC